TGGCACCGGAGCCACAGCCCCTCCCCGCGCCTCCCCCCAGCTCCTCTCCAAGAGAGGAAGCAATGCAGATGGAGCCGAGAAATAAATATTCCTGCCTGCTCCGTGCCGCTGCAGACGTTTTCCAAAATGTCTGGCTTGGACCATGAAATCGAGCCCACCCAGGAAAGGAGGCGCTCAGCGGGAGAAAGAGGGGGAAAGGGTGGCATATTTGTCGATACTTGTCAGCTTTCTGGGGGGCAGAGCACATGGCTCATACTTGGCAGCCCTGCTGAGGTGGGGACGGGGTAAGTGCGCAGTAATACTTGAAGAATGGAATCAGAAATGGGAGGGAGTTAAGGCAGCCCTGCCAGGCGGCAGCCCTCTCTCCCAGCCTTTGTCCCGCGCCCGGGACTCCTGGTTCTCTCACTGGGATGGCAGGGCTCTTTCCACAGGGCCTGCCGCCTCGCCACCCTGCACCTGCACTCCCCTCCCCTCCAGGGTAATCCTGGAGACCGGTCTGCAGGAAGTCTCTAGAGGCCCTTTCAGATTTGGGCAGGAGCTCAGAAGCCACTCCTGCCACCTCCAAGCGCAGCCCGTGGCCGCCAACGCTGGGATACCATCAGAAGATGAGAGCGCAGGCTGCAAATGATAAGTGGGTGCTTTTGGCCTGGGGGTGGCCAAGTGTGGGGGAGAAGTATCACTAAGGAAGGGAAGTTACAGGCCCAGCAACAGGCACAGAAGTGTCGTGCAGCGGTGGGGACTTCACTAGGCATGCTGTGTGGCTGCAAAATGTCTCAGAAAAGGGAGATGAGAGGGTGACAATTCCAGCTGAAAACTCCTACGTGAGTTCTGCTAGGTCTTCTTTGTTTCAAATGCTCCCGTTAGACTCTCCCCGGTACCATGCCCTTGATCTCGCTGCCACAGGACCACCTTTTACTGGTCCTCTTGGTAAGTCAGTAATTCTGGTGGGGCCCTTGGTGGACTGAATTCCGCTCAGGAAAGTGCAGAGGAGCTTTCCTGGTTCAAGTCCAGGGTAGTAAAAACAGTTGCTCAAAATGAAGACTCAAAGAAAGTGACATCTTTTGTGGGTGTCAGGGGAACATTTTCCAGAAATGTTGCATTTAATTCTGCCTCTTTTCACCATTTCTATGACTTCACCGAGGAATGAAAGATTATCTAATATTATTCCCACTCATGTGCCCTGAATCCTTCTTCATGCATCTTCCCCACTCATTTGCCCATCTGCCTTCTAGTGCCGGGCAAGTGCCAGCTGAATCCCACTCTCTTCAGGAAGCTGTTCAGTGGCAGCGGGAAGCTGGCAGAAGACCTGGGTTCCTGTCCCCACTCTGCCCATTGCTGTGTGACCTTAGAAAAATCACTCCCCCTCTCTGGGCCTTGGTTTCTTTGTTTGTCAAAGGAGTGGGTTGGATAGGTTTTCTTTCTGCTGGGACACATTATGGGAGGTTCTACAGAGTGAAATCAGATACAATTCCTTTTGTCAGCACCCTCTCCCACCCCGTCTTTGCCAATAAATGCCAGGGACTTTCTGTGATTGAGTTCAATCCTTATACCTGGGAAGGTCAGAGGTGCATATCAAAGCAAGTTGGGCATGAAGATATGTGGATGCTATCCAGAATTGTTTTAAATGTTTTCTGTCCACATTTCCTTTAATTCTCAGGAAATCTAAAGTATGAGTTAGAGAAAGACCAAAGAAGGGCGTGTTTGGAAAGAACTTGTGTGCATGTATGTTTGCATTATACAACAAACATATTAGGTATCTTTTATTGATAATAGCTGCTATTTATTGAGGCCTACTATGTGCTAGGACTATGCTAAGCTCTTTCACTTACATTATTATCCTCAAAGAAGCTCATTATGGAAGATATTATTTACTCCCCACTTCCACACAACATTGGTAGTCGACTGCAATTAACATACACACACACACACACACACACACACACAGCAAAAAGATACAACAGCATACCTCCCTAAAACCAAAACCCAAACTACAACAAAACTCAGAGAGGCTGAGACACCTACTCAAGATCAAACAGCTGGTTAATATTGGTAATGGGATTTGAATCCAATTTTGTTGGATTCCAAAGACGGTGATGTGCTACCCCCTACCCTGTGCTGGGCCTTGTCTTGGCACTCAGTGCCCTTTTAGGAGAGTCTTCATAAAGTAAGGCTATTTTAAAGACCCAAAGATAGTGGGTCCTAAACTGCCTTTCCTATGGTATTGTCAGAGGAAAACAGCCGGTCCCAGAGCCAGGAAGACCCCTGCTATCAGAAATGACAAGAAAGCAAACAGCTGCAGTGCCTGCCTAGCACAGGGAAGGAGGGAGAACCGGGCCCAGGGGCAGTCCACTTACAGCAACCATCTCCATTTACCTACAGAGAATTAGGCTGGCTTCTTCCCACCACCTAACTAACTTCTATGGCCTTGCCCAATTCTAGCACAGAATTAGAGCCTCCCAGAATAGTACAGACTTGATCATCTGTGCCAGAGGTTGTAAACTCAGGTGTCCCCAAGCCCAGGCAGGTCTGTGAATGAGCAAAACAGCTCAGAGGGGGCTCCAGGAACTGGTAAGCCCATATCTGCACTGTGGAGACCACCACGACTCAACTCCAGCAGACTGCTCTGTGCCCACGGGCAGGCCTTTATAAAGCTGCTGACCATCCACTTTGTAAAGGAAGTCCCGAAATACAGACTTCTTTGTGAATTCTCCTGAGTTTTAAATGGCAACTCATTCAGTTAAGAAAAGCGTACCCATGCAGCAAGGACCAAAGAAAACATATTTACAAACATATTTATCTATCTGACCCGCAGGTCTCCCTTTGCAACCTCTAAAATGAATTCACAGAGGAGGAAATGGTAGCTCAGAAACGTGAAGTGCTTTGCCTAAGAGCTAAGGTGCGCTCAGTCGGGCAACTCTCTTGGGATACAAACATAGAGAGACATATGTGTGTGCATGCAGATACATACACATATACTGTATATTCACAAATGAAATAGAAATGGCTTTGGATTGCCGGCTGCTGTGAAATGTCCTGCTCACTCTGCCGGTGTTGTTACTATATACCGATGACTGCAATTAACACACATACACAGACCGAAAGCAAATGCCACAACAGCACCCTCCCCTGTGTCAGCTCCTTGACAGCTATCAGCTCCTTTTACCCACTTGAATTATCCCATATTTCCTTAACAAAAAAGACCACGAAAACCTCTTTACTTACGGTAAATGACAAGAAGGAAGAAAACAAGGTCCCTTCGTCATATCTGGATAATTTTGCCAACACTCCTTCCAAGATGGTAACGAACTAGTAAAACAGCGAAAGAGAAAACAAGATTATTATTTCAGAGTAGAACTGCTCCCAGTCCAGAGCAGCGGGTCCAGACCCGCACCGAGCCCCTGCGCGCCCCGGCCCCGTTATCCGCGCGCAGCCTGTGGGGGAGGAGCGGCTGCCTCTATGCAGACATATCTGACTTATTTGGCTTCCTCTTCATTATTATGTGATTGCAAATAGAGAGTGTTACAGAAGTGCAAAGTGACAAAATATTATTCAGTTGCATATCGCACGCGATAATATTAAATGCACTTTTCAAAATCCCAAACTGCGCGAAGCCGTCTTTACGTCGCATATTAGCACTACATTGAATCCAATCTATTTTTATTTGTATTTTATCAGTAATTTGGGGGAAACAGAAGTTTAGCACTGGCAAATATAAATGTCTTCCCATTCAACATTACTTAGTTAAAATTCTATAATTCATGAGGGTGACTGAAATAGCTTTATCTGACTTTTTATGTTTTATTATGACTCTCGCTGCATGTGAAACTAGAGAAAGGGGGTTTTCGTGATGGCAGAATTCCTTATTACCATTTAACTTTCTGTATTTAAGAATCTAACTTTGTCAATGCTGAAAAACAAAACAAACACTTTCCAAATAACCTAGTGCAGTGTTTGGGGGCAAATTCTTATTAAGTTAACATATGCCACTTCATTGCCCCATCTTTACACAGCTCGCAGTCATCAGGAAAATCATCCGGAGCCGAGGCTGGGTGACGTACAGTCCTGTTTCCTGAGAAATATAGGTGCCCAGCTCAACTTTTCAACGTGCTACATTTTAATGGGGATACAGACATAATAAAGCGATGTTCACAACGAGACATTTCACCTGGAACTGAAGGTTACCTTTGCAACCAAGAGTGTTATCATTTCTTTAACAGTTTCTTCAATTAGTTCATCTATTTTTGAGTGGTACTGATGCTAAAGAACACAGAAAGACAAAGATTAGCATGTTTGGGAGGTGATGGCATTGCATCTGTCAGTAATTTTTAGATAATGCAATTTATAAATAAAGCCTGGCCTGCCGACCTGGTTCATTTCCACAATCCCAGAAGCAGCTGTAAGATTCTGACTCCACATCTTGGACAGGAAAAATCCAAAGCGCTTAAAAAATTACCGGGTGCATTGTTCCTTGCCCAAAGCTTTCAGCTGCTTTGATATGTGTAGAGACGTACACACATTTACAAATAGCTCACACGGATGGCTTAACAGCCAAGCAGCGTGTTGATCTGGGCCTTACAAAGCACGATACCACAATAATTTAATTCAGGGGACGAAAAATTCTCTGGAAAACTGCTGGGGAATGTGGCTTAGGGAGTAGCATCCTTCCAAAGGGAGTTTGACCAATACACTGTGAATGATTCTGCAAAAACTGTTCTAAGGCTATTTTGGGTTAATGCCTCAGAGCCCCAGTTCCTTCTCAGGGCGCTAACTCGGTGCCCGGGCAGTGTCTCTTTCTGAACCCCGGTAGCTGCCGCTCATTTTCTCCATCACGGGAAAGGAGACCCAGGCTTAGAGCCTTGAGATTGCTACTAAGTTTTTCAATTTCTCTAACTGCTGCTGTCGGTTATTAAATTTAAATAGTAACGCAAAAACAAACCCCACACAAACAAAAATCTGCTGCACATGCCAGGAGAAAAGAAAAGCGATTTCAACAGAAAACACTGGGTGCCAGCTCCCTGACATTTATTAGATCACTTCAGTACCCGCTGAATTACTCCACATTTCCTTAATGGGAAATAACAATGCCAAACACTGCTGTCTGGAAGGAAGGATGCGCTTACCCACTCTCTAGCAAACTTCGGAGGGGTGAGAAATTAGAAAATGAAACAAAGGAACAGTGCAAATAAAAATTAGAACAAAAGAGCACGAGAAAAAAAATTAAACAAACCATCCAGAAAGCTATGAAAATATATGGAAATAATAAGCCATATTAATGTGGTTTGATACTCTGATAACTGGCAATCAGAACTATTGGAAGTGAGCAAAGGGATGTGAATTAGGTTAATTCATTTAAAGTCACAGTGGAATTTTGTTTGTAACGGAAAGACCTACATAAAGTCCCAGTGCAAAGCTGGTTAGTTATGTTGCCTGAGAAAATATAGTTCAGTTTCTTCATCTGTAAAAAACCAGAAACTACTACCACCTAGGACCGATGAGGGAGGGGAGAAGCCAGTACGAATTACTGATTTTATAATGGGAATGAGGCAAACCCTATATAAAGATATTTAGCAGGTCTGTTTTATTATTACTATTATCTATCTATCTATCTATCTATCTATCTATCTATCTATCTATCTATCTATCTATC